AGAGATTCCAGAGGCGATGTCCATGACAATTGTTTAGTTTACTAAATATATTTTTTTCAGTCTTGCAGGGTTGCCAAATCATGGATCTGGTGTGACACTCACCTAAGCCTTACCTGTCATTGGAGCAGCCATTCATCCTGCAAAGCACTGATCTTACTCCATTACTGCAGAGGCTATTGACAGCCATGCTATCACTGGAGAGACCTTTACACTTGCCTTTTGCACCTGAAGGCCTACTCCGTGTTGCCGACAGCAAGAAAACCATCGGCAACACCTGATTTTGGACATGCTTCCCTGCACCCTTTCAGAGGATCTTAGACATCCCACCTTAGGGATATTGACTTCAGGGAGGCAGATGAGGGGCGTCCAGGAGGTCAGGGGTGCTGGCCAGTGCTTATCTGGTATGATGGAAATACTGTATATATATGTGAATGGATGGCTGACCAGGGTTAGAGAGTGTTGGCAGAATTTACAGCAGTAAAGCTTCTTGCCAGTTAATATTATCACTGCTGAATAATGTAACAACAGATTTCCAGAACACTGCACATCATTTGCGGATGTCGAGGGACTTCTGCCAATTTGCAGGAGACTCCCTAAACCTTCTGGACAGGTGGGATGTCTGATCTTATTCTATAGCACGCCGGATGCTAGGAAACAAAACCTTGGGCTTGGTGAACCTCTGGTACGCACTATGGCTAGGGTGACCACCTAATCCATGTCAGGAGGGACACTATGAGCTACTTCAGCTTTTACAAACTACTTTAAAGCTGAAAGCGTTCTGTGCTCTACTAAAATGTTTGGTTAGTTCCTAGATTGAAAGACTCATCCAGCTGTTTCGCATTAACATTACTGACACATTACTGATTATAGGAGACTGACCAATCAGCATACGGCAAGAACCCAGTGCTTAAGTGAAATCCTGGTCCTTTTAATTGAAATGTATGAAATGGTAGTTTACAAATCCTGTTGTAGCTCATAGTGTCCCTCCTGACATGGATTAGGTGGTCACCCTAACTATGGCTGAGCACCACACCATTCACCTCAATCAATGAGGCTCTTTATATTCAACTGGTTGGTTGAAACTAAATCTTGGCCTGGAGTTTTACTTTCTGGGCCTGAACTTGTCACCTCTTATGCAGAAACTCCAAACTGTATCTCTTTTTTGCATGGTGCTGTGAGGGACACTATTGTAGAAGGCTGATGTGATTTTACGTTTGTGTAAATAGTAGCTTGGAGGGTCGACAGTCATCATCCTCTCAGACTCTCCAAATAGCATTTTAAATTGTTTTCAAAAAAGGGGAAAAAAAATAGAAGATAAAACTAGTGATGATGATCATAATAAAGCAGCTTACAAATTGTTAAGGTTGTAATGGCTGTGTTTGTTTGTATTGTTTTAATCTCACAAGCATCTATATCTTATAATAAAAATAACAAACTCATCAGGATATCCAACGTTAAAATATAAGTTATAGGAAAGGTATTAAGCTGAAGGATTTATCCGAACTCAGGACTCAAGCTTAATATCTTAGGATTTTATCGAAATGTATTCAAAGGATCAAATCAATCAAAATTTCTACGGTTATTCAGCATAAGAACATAAGAACATAAGAAATTTACAAACGAG